GACCCCCCTGACTGTTGGCTTTTTAGCCCCTGAACCATACAGGGCTCCTCCTGCAAGCTGAATCTGTCCTTGTTAGGCTATTTTGTCATGGTCTAATATTCTGTCAGACCTAAAATCTTGAAAACAATAATGATACATCGGCAAAAAAATATTTATATATATAAATACCTGTTTTGGGCCAAATACCCCCCTTTCTACGCCCCTGATCAAGAAAAAAAAAATTTGAAATTTTTTTATGCCCCTTATGGATTAAAAGAATATAGGTGCAAAGTTAGCACCATTTATCTCTATTATTACAAGAGTTATTACAAACTCCAGGAGACTAGTGAGGTCCTTTCCGTTCACGGAAAATGCTCAAAAGTTATTTCTTTTCTTTAACATTTTCACATAAAAAAGTGAATTTTTGAATCGTATCGCTGAATTGGAGATATAAATGATATTTAGATAGAAAATAAATGATTTTTGAAAAAAATATCAAAAACCCCATCTTGCGTTAAGATTTTGAACTATCCTGATAAGCTGCTAGCACCGCAGTCCATGAGTAAAGAGAGAGAACCGCCAGAATTATATAAACAGCTGCTGACACTACGCCTGAACATTACAAACAAGGTGGAATTTAACAAAAACATCACAATTTAAAACCAGAATAACAAGAAGGTTAACTACTTAAGCGTAATTTCAAGTAACCTGTCATAAAATGGTAATGTTATATATTGTGTAAATTTTAAAAGTTGCAAAATTTATAAATATCAAGTTTTTGTTCTTAGATTATAAAGGTTACATTTAGTTGCTAAAATATGCAAACAGTGCATTTGAATTATTTATCTGACTCTGTGCGGAAGAAAATAACTGTATTTTTGTGTATAAAAATCAAGTTTTTGTTCTTAGATTATAAAGGTTACATTTAGTTGCTAAAATATGCAAACAGTGCACTTGAATCATTTATCTGACTCTGTGCGGAAGAAAATAATTGTATTATAAATATCAAGTTTTTGTTCTTAGATTATAAAGGTTACATTTAGTTGCTAAAATATGCAAACAGTGCATTTAAATCATTTATCTGACTCTGTGCGGAAGAAAATAACTGTATTTTTGTGTGTAAATATCAAGTTTTTGTTCTTAGATTATATATATAAAGAAGACATTTCGAAAAATGCTTCAACTCAGAATTTCTTCTGGAAAAGAAGGCAGCTTAAGTTTTCCTCCCCTCGAGCATCCTTGAAATCATCTCTGGATGTTACGGTAGACTGAAACACCTCTTATCATTCCACAGAACTCTTCAGCATTTAATTTTATAACCTTGTAAAAGATAATAATATTTCCAAAAAAAACCCCCTTAATTATATAATGTTTTTAACGCTTGGAACTGGTTTCTGCTGGAGTAAGCTTTTTCCATGTGTTTACTTTTGCTTTGCTTTTATAAAGGTTACATTTAGTTGCTAAAATATGCAAACAGTGCATTTGAATCATTTATCTGACTCTGTGCGGGAGAAAATAATTGTATTTTTTGTGTATAAAAATGTTAAAGTTCTAGACCTTGATCCAACCAGTTTTGTACTTTGAAAAATAGATTTTTATCTACATTCTTTAAAAGGGCTGTAAGAGCAATAGCAAGTGCCTTCATGCAAAGAAGCAATTCCCGATTTACAACGGTACCCTTGAAAGCGTTGCCTGATTAAGTATGAATAAGACATCAATGTTTTCGTTTCTTTAAACTGTTTATGTTCATTTGAGGTTTCTCAGTGAGTGACTGGCGCATTTCTTGTTCAAAATAAGCAATGGAGAAACTCACAGAAAAAAAAATACTTTTCGAGTAAGGGTGGATATCGTTGTAAATCAGGCATTTTCATTTTTGCATGGAGGGTCACTTTACGCTTACAATCCCTTAAAACCAGATTTCAGTGTGCATGTTTTCATCTCAAGTTTTACTGTTTATTTTGTTCAGTTTTAACTAAAAAAAGGCAAGGAGGGGGATGGGACTGGAGAGGGGGGTAAGGTAGGGGTTAAGTCAAATTGTTAAAAAAGGGTGAGGGGGGGGGTGGGGGGTATGGAAAGGGATACTACCTGGGATGATATTAGCGTAGAAAAGTGCTACAACAATAACAATTCCTCCTGCCCCAGCCAATATTATATCAAGCATAGTTAGCACTAGGTAGGGAACCATCATAAACCTAACCTACAAATAGAAATAATAATGGTTGAATAGAGATAATACTGGTTGAATAGAGATAATACTGGTTGAATAGAGATAATACTGGTTGAATAGAGATACTACTGGTTGAATAGAGATAATACTGGTTGGATATAAAGAATACTGGATGGATAGAGATAATGCTGGTTGGATATAAAGAATACTGCTTGTTTAGGAAGAATACTGGTTGGATAGAAATAATACTGGTTGGATAGAAAGAATACTGGTTGGATAGAAAGAACACTGGTTGGATAGAGAGAATACATGGTTGGATACAAAGAATACTGGTTGTACAAAAAGAATACTGGTTGGATAGAACGAATACTGGTTGGAACTGGTTGGATAGAACGAATACTGGTTGGATAGAGATAATACTGGTTGTACAAAAAGAATACTGGTTGGATAGAGAGAATACTGGTTGGATAAAAAGAATATTGGTTGAATATAAAGAATACTGGTTGGATAGAAAGAATACTGGTTGGATATGAAGAATACTGGTTGGATATGAAGAATACTGGTTGGATATGAAGAATACTGGTTGGATAGATAGAATACTGGTTGGATATAAAGAATACTGGTTGGATAGAAAGAATATTGGTTGGATATAAAAAATCTTGGTTGGATATAAAGAATACTGGTAGGATAGAAATAATAATGGTTGGATATAAAGAACAATGGTTAGATAGAAATAATACTGGTTAGATAGAAATAATACTGTTAGATAGAAATAATACTGTTAGATATATAGAATACTGGTAAGCAAAGGAGAATATTGTTTAGATAGATAGATTGGTGGTAGGATATGAAGAATATTGTTCAGATAGAATGAATACCGATTAGTATAAGTAGAATATTTGTTAGATAAAATATTGGCCAAATAAGTAGAATATTGGTTTGATAAAAAGATTATTGGTTAGATATTTAGAATATTGGTTAGAAAGGTAGAATATTGGTTAGAAAGGTAAAATATTGGTTAGATAAGTAAAATATTAGATAAATAGGTAGAATATTGGTTATATAGAATATTAGTTAAATAAGTAGAATATTGGTTAGATAAGTAGATTATTGGTTAGATAGGTAGACTATTGGTAAGATAAGTAGAATATTGGTTAGAAAGGTAAAATATTGGTTAGATAGGTAGAATATTGGTTATATAGAATATTAGTTAAATAAGTAGAATATTGGTTAAATCAGTAGAATGTTGGTTAAATATGTAGAATATTGGTTAGATATGTAGAATATTGGTTAGATAGGTAGACTATTGGTTAGATAAGTAGAATATTGGTTAGAAAGGTAAAATATTGGTTAGATAGGTAGAATATTGGTTAGATAAGTATAATATTAGATAAATAGGTAGAATATTGGTTAGATAGAATGATAGTTAAATAAGTAGAATATTGTTAGATAAGTAGAATATTGGCTAAATCAGTAGAATGTTGGTTAGATATGTAGAATATTGGTTAGATATGTAGAAGATTGGTTGGATAGGTAGACTATTGGTTAGATAAGTAGAATATTGGTTAGATAAGTAGAATATTGGTTTGATAGTAGAATATTGGCTAAATATGTAGAATATAGTTGGTTGGTCGAATATGTGTTAGATAAATATAATGAAAGATGATCAAAAACTATTTGATCAAAATGCAAGAGTTTATCAAAAACCTGAGTACATTATGTACATAAGCACTAGTTTCAGAAATTTAAAAAATAGGCTAATATGTACTATTGAAGTGTACTGCAAAGCTGTTGTTTAAACTTGAATTAAAGGTAAAAATACCTAATGAATATTTACCAAGAAGAAGAATAAAAAAGGAAAATTGGAAATTAGAGGAAAAGATAATGAAAGATGAATAGAGAGGAAGAAAAAAGAAGACATAAGAAGAGAGAAGAATTAAAAAAACAAGAAAGAAGGAAGAAAGAGCAGGAAGTAGAAAGAAGAAAAAGGAAGTTTAAAGAGTTGAAAAGGGGGAAGACAGCTAATTCGGTTTAAAAAATGTTAGACTATCTTGTACCCTTATCTTGCAGCGTACACTTTTTTGCTTAACTCCTGATTTTTGACCAAGTGGTTTTTAATATTGTGATATTCTTGCAGATAAATATAATAAAATTTAAAGGTTAAAAAGTTGATTAGAAAGGCAGAATATTATCATTATAGGCGTACTCAGATCATGGGGATGGTGCTATGGGGACTCAGCCCCCCCCCCTTCCCTGAATCAGTAAAATATTCTGTTTTTTGTTGTTGCCTAAAATGGGTGCCGACTGCTGAGAACCTCCCCCCCCCCTGAATAATTACGACCTAGATAATTATTATAATACCTGACAGCGGACTCCCAGTATAAGAAGAAGGGCTGACGTAGCACTGATTGCTGACAAGGATAAAGCTATTAGAGCTGATGTTGGCCACCATTCTCTAGCAGACCCCATTATTTCCTGATAATCAAATATAACAATTTTTTTAAAAAAATAACATTTTACGCTCTCAATAAATATTACCAAAAATGAATTAGATATCCATGTTTTTAGCTTAGAAAATTAACTATTTTCAATGGTGGTTTCTTTGCAAAACTGAATTGCACACTTCTACATCAGTAAAATACATGAAAATTATTAGAATTTAAAATGTTTAAACCTAAAACCGACAAATTATCCCACTATATTATCAAATAAAGGCTTTAAGAGTAATGTTAGGAGTCGGGACTTGTAATCTTTGCATGGAATGTCATTTAAGTTTTCGCAAAAAGTCCCTCTACATTGGTGAGTTAGGGTCTCAAGCCAAACAAACAAATAAGCAAACGATCAACCATCATTCAAAACAAAAATGATAGAAACATCATTTTAAATATTGAATAAAAATTTTAGATTTTCTTTTATAAGTATGACAATATTTTTATCATTCTATCTACATTTAGCACAAGCTGAAGTGCCCTGCATTACCTGTAGAATTTTAAAAACACTTAATTTTGAATAAAAAAATCAAATATTTAAAATATTTATCAATATTTTAAAGCCTATAATACCGTCCGGGCGGGGTCCCATGAACTTCCTAAAAAAAGTTCAGCCGTTTTGCCAGCTATAGCGAACATGTAAAAATAAGCGAAGAGCTTTATTAAATATAAACTATACAGGGTGTTATTAATTCTGTAATTTCTTAAATACTTATTTCTCAGCCATTTTTTAAAATCTTTTTGATTTAAAATAAGTTCAGAGTTGAAAACTTTAGAATGTGATATCCTTAATCCCGATCTGTTGACTTTTCTGGAGTTTAAATTCATGTGGAGAACAAGCCATATTTAATCTGGAGATTAAGAAAAAGTTTGAATTAAGCATTAATCCTGATATCCACCATTCTAAAGTTTTCAGCTCTGGGTCAGTGGGTAGCTTATAAATGGACGTTTTATAATCCGCAAAGAAAACCCGGGAAATAAAAACATGTAAATCAGCAATTTCATACTATATCTGTCACATAATTTTTTCCGGAGGGGCGGACCAGAAATATGCTCAGACCTTTCTGAAATTTTAATACGACCTAGGCCTGGTCATAGAAAGGGGTCCATTACAGCCAGATCGGTAGAAAAATGAGGGCACAGCCTTAAGCCCCCTCCCCCCCGCCCCCCCACCGAACCAGTTTGTTTGCCAAAGAGAACGGAGACCATTTTAATCATTTAATGAAGAAATCTTATTTTTTTACTGTATAAAATAAAACCAATAAAAAACCAATAAAAACAAATAATCATTTGATCCTTCTAGTAAAATAATTATTTCTCAGAACCAAACAAGAAATGTAAGTAAAACCGAAATTTACAAATAAGTAAAAATTTCATAGATTTCATAGATTGAAATTTTAGATTTAATTGTGCGCGTTACAATTTACAATGTAACTATAATTATAGATATCGTGGTTTTACTAATTTGAAGATGAATAAATTCTATAAATTTTCTCATTTATTTCGGAAACAGAAATGCACATGTCAATTTTTAGAGAACCACACAAGAAATTGATAATTTTGAGGGCGACGGTGACTATTTCGTGAACTCCGACAAAGTTTGTAACGGTGCCTTTGTGAATTGAAGGATCCCTCTAGGTATACCTGATAGGTTTGCATCGTCCATCTGTGTTCCCGTAAAATATCTTCTAGAACATTCTCAATATATCTAAATAAAAAAATGAAATAATATTACAAAATAATAATAAAAACACAATAGGTTTCAACCAAATCAATTATAAAGTTCAATTACAATTGTGATAATTTTCTCAACCGTTTTTTTTAATTAAGAGGTTAATAAATGAAACAGTATGAATAACAGAAAGGTAAAACCCGATAACACTGCTTTAATTTCACGAAGAACATGTCTTAACTTATTAAATACTGATTCTTTCATCTTTTCTCCTCAAACTTTTTTATTTCAAGTAATTTTCTGTAACCAGTCTAAGTCTAGAGAACCTTTTAGAATTAACCTGATTCCCCCCACCCACCCTAGACCAGTGACATCGCTGGTTTAAAGGGGGTTTTTAGGTCCCAAAGGGTGCTTAGCCCCCTCCCTCTGTAAAGAAAAAAACATTAAGCCCCCCCTCCCACCGGAAAAACTCCTGAATACGCTTTCTCTAAACTGGCTACAAACAAAAAAACACTTATGTAACGAAAAGAATAACATAAAAAATTTAATCCAAGAAAAAAGAAATATTTTATATTTCCAAGATGATTTTAGGTGAGGGTATAGAATTTTCTGTCCAATTACTGGAATTAGAAGTAGACCCTTAAAATTTAAATCTTTACAAAAAAACATGCAATTATCCCTCTTGCAATCAAGATTATACAAACAACACAGAACAGTAAAGCTCTATTCAAGAACGCTTTTTGTGTAACTTCAATCAGTGACAAAGCCAGATATTCGTGAAGTTCTATGACCAGGAGCTCTCAGCTACCGTTTCTAAGATCATTGATTCTAAATCGAAATAAAGTTCCAATTTTCATTTCCCTTCCCCCAAATCCTCGAAAATCATTTCCCATTGGCAATATATCTTCAAATAAAACCTTAGTCTTAAAATACCCATTGTGCTTAAACATCTCACACATTAATGAGAATAATATATGTTGTTCGGAATTGATATTTTTTATCAATTTATATTTGATAATTATGTTATGAGAAAGGAAGGTGGATTTTTCCACTGTATGCAACAAGACTGATACTTGGATATGATCTAAACTAATGATGTTAAAAATAAAATTTACCATATATAGGCCAAACCAGCCTTCGTAAAAAATAATCCCTAACGAACGGAAATTTCATTGATGTAAAAAATTCAAGAAATACGACTCAGATATAAGCTGTCGTTGGGCCTAATTTACGGCTTGGACTTTCAGATCTACGTTACATCTAATTTTTCACAGAGTTGAGTTAAAAACCAGTTTTATATTGAGTTTGGCGGATTTTTGTGGTTGGAATTTGCGCATTCCGGGTTTTGAAGAGAACATTGACATTCCGTTAATTCTGTTTCTCCATAGCTTCTTATAAACTAGGAATGCACAAGTTACTTTCGCAGAGAACCCACAAACAAAATTTTTTTTTAAAAATTGATTTCAAATTTATACTTGATCAGAAAAAGCTTTAAAGGGAACATTTATAAATCTGGCATTCCTATCTTTGCGTGGAGTGTCACTTGAAATTACGTTTACAGTCCCTTTAAAGAGAGCTGCATGGCCAATTAACAATGAAAGGCTTTACATCTTTAAAAAGGTAACAATCAAGAAAAATTGTTTTCCACCATCCCAAACTATACAATGCAATTCTCAAAATAAACCACAGTGTTTGCTGTATAAATCCGCAAGTACCATAGAGAAGCCGCAGTTCAAAATTATCAATTTTCAGATAAACAACAAAATATCTTCATCATATTTCCACCCTTGCTAGGATTAAACTTACTTCAAATTATCCTTGATAGGATTAAACTTACTTCTGATAACTCTTGATAGGATTAAACTTACTTCAAATTATCCTTGAAAGGCTTAATTTTACTTCTGATTATCCTTGATAGGATTAAACTTCCTCCGGATTATCCTTGATGGGATTAAATTTACTTCTGATTATCCTTGAAAGGATTTAACTTACTTCTGATTATCGTTTATATTAAACTTACTTCTAATTATTCTTTATATTAAACTTACTTCTGATTATCCTTGATAGGATTAAACTTACTTCTGATTATCCTTTATATTAAACTTACTTCTGATTATCCATGATATGATTAAATTTACTTCTGATTATTCTTGATGGGATTAAACTTATTTCTGATTATCCTTGATAGGATTAAACTTACTTCTGATAACTCTTGATAGGATTTAACTTATTTCTGATTATCCTTGATAGGATTAAACTTACTTCAGATAATCCTTGATAGGATTAAACTTACTTCTCATACTCCTTGAAAGGATTGAACTTACTTCTGATTATCCTTGATAGGATTAAACTTACTTCAGATAATCCTTGATAGGATTAAACTTACTTCTGATTATCCTTGATAGGATTAAACTTACTTCTGATAACTCTTGATAGGATTAAACTTAATTCTGATAACTCTTGATAGGATTAAACTTACTTCTGATTATCCTTGATAGGATTAAACTTACTTCTGATTATCCTTGGGTACCAGTACAAACGTCGGACGCCACAAACGTCGGACAGTACAAACGTCAGACGCACAAACGTCGGACCAGTACAAACGTCGGACCAGTACAAACGTCAGACTAGTACAACGTCAGACTGGTACAAACGTCGGACCAGTACAAATGTCGGACGGGTACAATTATAAGAAAAAACGTCGGACTTGGTAGATTTTGAATGGACCATTGTTTTAAAAAATTTCAAACTATGAATTCTACTAGATCATACAGTTTAATCCCTATATCTTTGCAACCCGCTGTTGTAGACCTTAGATATTTCAAACTATGAATTCTACAAGATCATACAGTTTAATCGCTACATCTTTGAAACCTGATGTTTGAAACCAGGCTTTTTAAATCTATTCTTCTTTGATCTCTTCCTAGGTTGCGACTGGTTGTGGCTGTTGCTACATTATTCTGTGGTCCCAGAAGAACATCTCTCATCTTTCTATCATTAGAGTTTTCCTCTGGTCTAAACTGCTGGATCAAAGCCCAAATGCTGGCATTATTGGGCAAAGATAAAGCAAAGGCAGCATTGAACCCCTCTGCAGCATTACTGGTCAATGGGTTATCTGAGAGAATTGTCTCATACTTGTTCCAAACTGCAAGGGGGAATATTGGATTCCTCCTGGCTCCTGTTCTCCAGTTGAGTGCTCCTATCCATGTATTCTCAAAGTTCTCTAAGAATAAATCAACCTGATCAGAATTGTCTTCAAAGCTTGGTTTCAGTTCGTCATAACGAGAACTGATCACATCTTCCCAGGTTCTAACAATATCCTCTTCTGGAACTAAAGAAAGAGCCCAAAGATAGCAAACCAGAGTTTGGAAGTCTACATTATTCTGGTACAAACTTCCTAATCCAAGCTCAGTTGAAGTCAGTTTCCTCCTAATGGCTCTCTTAAAATGGGTGTCACAGCCCATTACAGGCACGTCGGGATAACAGTTCAGGAATCCTCGCATGATTGCCTTCTCAAAATCTGTCTTCAAACTGCCTGGTAGGGTTAAATTTGCATCTTTAAGATACTGGAAGACTCTTTGGTAGCTTGAGGTCTCCTTGTTTGGAAGGAGTGCAAAACAACAGGGTACAGTGATACCTGTAGCTGTGACAGCAGTGATAATAAACAATTGATAGAACAAGGTTTTCTTCAAAACATCAAAAGTACCATCAGCCACCCAGTATTTTGTCAACTTAAGAACGTTACGTTATGCTGCTCACTGCTGCAAAATATGATGATTCTCATCTCCAAGATGCTCATTGATTGCTAGAAATCTGTCTCCACGGATTGTTGTCTCAAGATAATGAGGTACAGACATATCATTCCAGCTTTTGGGGACCTTGGTAAACCCAAAATGTTCTACTCTTGCTCTCTTGACTGCCTGTACTAAGGTATTTGACTTCCCCATGGCACTCACCCCTTCGTTGGTAAGTGTGCTTACCATGTTGGTCATGTTTCCAAGAACAGTTCGTGGACTTATTGCTATATTTCCAGAGCTTTCTGTAACTACTTGTTTTTCTATTTCACGTACTCTTTTCTTCAAAAGATCACTGTCATGTGAATGCTCTCCCAGGAAACTGATAATCTTGTCATTCTCATTGTTTACAACTGCTCCTGCAGGACAAGAATTGTTTTTCCTTTGAATGCATTGGTAATAGGTTTTGTTGGGTTTCTTCTTTGTAACCCTGTATTCAAACTGATTTGAATCAAGCAGGTGCCGTCCCCCCTGCTTAACTTAATATATGTAGCAGTCTCCTCGTCCATGTATCCAGACTTTGTGAGAGTGAATTTTTAACAAAAAAAATTGGGATTTTTTTTGAGATAAAATTGCGAATTTACAAGAATTTCAATCTGAAAATTCATTTATATTTGTTCTTCCTTAGTCCGACGTTTTTCCATATAAATGTACCCGTCCGACGTTTGTACTGGTCCTACGTTTGTACCAGTCCGACGTTTGTACTGGTCCGACGTTTGTACTGGTCTGAAGTTTGTACTGGTCCGACGTTTGTAAGTCTTATGTTTGTACCGTCCGACGTTTGTGGGTCCGACGTTTGTACTGGTACCTATCCTTGATATGATTAAATTTACTTCTGATTATCCTTGATAGGATTGAACTTACTTCTGATAACTATTGATAGGATTGAACTTACTTCTGATAACTCTTGAAAGGATTAAACATACTTCTGATTATCCTTGATAGGATTAAACTTACTTCTGATTATCCTTGATAGGATTTAACTTACTTCTGATTATCCTTGATAGGATTGAGTCCTGGAACCTCTGAATTAGCTAGGTATGCTGCTAGAGGAATGATTAGAAGAATAGACAGGAACAAGTTAAACGTTCCTGAAAAATATTTTAAGTTATAATAGTAATAATAATAACTAGCTGAAGGGCCCAGCGTTGCCCGTGGAAAACAAAAATTTGAAGTAAAAAATTAACAAAAAAAAAGTTGAAAACAAATTCGTTCTTTTTGCCTAAAAAACCCACTGGCCAACCATGAGTGTCCACAAAAAATGTCAGCCCATTCGGTCCAGCCGTTTGGCCGGCTATAGGCAACATATGTACATATTATATAGATGATAATAATGATTATAATGATAATAATGATAAAAATGGTACTGCTGCCCCTCCTCCTGCTTCTGTTCCTGCTCACCACCAACCACCACCAACCAACCACCAAGCACCAGTGACAGGCTCTCCATTCCCATGCATAAATAAGGGAAAGAAATAAGTACAAGTAATCCCGTCCTGCTGGAAAGAAGAAAAGAGCCTAATAGAGCCCCATACTGTAAACCATTCACCAGAAGTGACACAAAGAAAGTTATGAGCAGGGGAGACAATTCCTGCAGAAAGTGCCGGATTAGTCAAGGTGGGAACAGAGGGATATAGGCAAGGTAAAAAAATTTGAAGTCAATGCCAACGGAAGAGAGAGAATCAGGCAGGAGATTAATACTTCCAGAAAATGATTATAGTTAAGGCAGTGTACAAGCAGTGTATGTAGAAAACAATTAGGGAGAATTCACAGCTTGTATATTGAGAAGAAGGTGTGGCTAAGAGAAGAGTTAAGGGGCGGAAGTAGACCAGATGCATGTTAAGATGAAGATAAAACGCCACCAGAAAACAGGAATTTTGTGCAAGAATCAGATTATCTGACAGAGGAGAGTAAGAGAAAATTTATCTGGGAGAGTTTCAAAATAGATAGAATGAGATGCTAAACCGAGATAAGAAACTTTAAGAGGAAGTGATCAAATTGTTTTTGGGTAACTTTTCGACTCTGCACAGCTTTCTATTGGCTCGTTCAGAACTTTTTGGTACTTATCAACATTAGTTTATTTTTACCTGTACCATTAGACCTGAATATTCAGGGTGTCCCACATCATATTAGATCCTTAATCAGTCAAAATTACGATTTTCGGGACTTATCATATAATTTCAGAAGAGTCATTTTGAAAAAATTAAATAAGGCTGATATAAGAACTTTCTTGCGGAAAATGCTAGGTTTTTCGATTATTATTGGTTTATTTTGGCGTTAAAACTTGGAGATAATCTAATATGATAAGGGACGCTCTGTAGTTAGTTAAATATAGACTCTGAAAACTAATGATTGAGTTTATCATTTATCAGTAAAGAAATAGATTCGGAGAGCTTTAAGTATGAGTTATAAAATAATTAAGGAGACTTTTGGAGTAAGAGCATTGTTACATCATTCTCATAATTATTATCATAACCATTATCAGAACCACAACCATAACCATTATTATCATAACCATTATCAGAACCGAACCATAACCATAACCATAACCATAATCCAGGATCCAGCGGTGCGTTCACTGTACAGGGAGATGCTATGTTGTCACCCCCCTGGCAAAGGTTCTAAACCCCTGGAAAAGTGAAAGCTCTATGTCTTAAAGGTAATCAGTGTAAGGAGGAGTAAAAATTGCCCCCCTCTGGACAAATTGGTGTAAACGCCCCCCCTCCTCCCCCAAAGTAAATTGGTTTCATTGGTGTCAGGATTTCAACAAAAGAATTAAAGAATTAACTTTGAACTAAAAGTTTGAAGAGATCCATTTGTATCACGCCGCGCTCCACGAATAACATGTAGTCACAAAAATATAGATAAATATACAAATGTCGTCTCGTACGTGGTCATGGTCAAGCCTGGAAAATACACAAGTCCCTAAACTAAATAAAACCAGCTAACACCGACAGACATAAAAAAGAGGAGTTTTAAAATGTCTAGATGAAAAGGATATAATGATGTCACTTGAGACATAAAAAAAAACACAGAGAAGAGTAAAATTCTGACAAGTGCAAAAAAAAATATTTACCAAGCACAACAGAGGCCGTTTTCACCCCACAGCAGCAGCACTTCTTCATTGTTATCAGATCCTAATAGAAGCAAATATTTTTCATATAATTTCAGGGGATGAAATTAAAATGGGTCAGAAAGGAATCTCATTTTAGCCTGAATTCAGAATCTCAGCATCAAGTAAAGCATTGATTCTCAAAGTTAAAAAGTGCACAGATGGGATTAAGCGTTAAAGAATTTCAGGGACTTCTTTTATTTTTCAAACTTAGAATTCTACTGAATTAAATGTTCAAAAGTTCCGATTTCAGGAACTTTTCTTATTTTTTAAACTCAGAATTTTACTGAACTAGATGTTCAAAATTTCCGATTTCAGGGACTTTTATTATTTTTTAAACTCAGAATTCTACTAAATTAAATGTTCAAAAGTTCCGATTTCAGGAACTTTTCTTATTTTTTAAACTCAGAATTCTACTGAATTAAATGTTCAAAATTTCCGATTTCAGGGACTTTTCTTTAAACTCAGAATTCTACTGAAATAAATGTTCAAAATTTCCGATTTTAGGGACTTTTCTTATTTTTTAAACTCAGAATTCTACTGAATTAAATGTTCAAAATTTCCGATTTCAGGGACTTTTCTTTTTTTTTAAACTCAGAATTCTACTGAAATAAATGTTCAAAATTTCCGATTTTAGGGACTTTTCTTATTTTTTAAACTCAGAATTCTACTGAATTAAATGTTAAAAAGGTTTAAAGTTAGTTTAGGGTTAATAACAAAATTCTTGACAATAACCAAAGGTCAGAATAAATGCCGGTATATTTAAGGAGCGAAGTAAGACTCAATAAAGATTTTGTTTATTTAAAGTTAAATTTGATTTACAGATGATATTTCTCTTTATGATTTATGATAAGGAAAGATTTGACATGATTTACTGATGATATTTCTCTTTAACATAAGGAAAGATTTGACATGATTTACTGATGATATTTATTTTTAAGATGAGGAAATTTGACATGATATATAGATGATATTTATCTTTAAGATATGTTTAGTTTGAAATGATTTACAGATGATATTTATCTTTAAGAAAAGGAAAGTTTGACATGATTTACAGATGACATTTATCTTTAGGATAAGGAAAGATTTGACATGATTTACAGATGATATTTATTTTTAAGATTGTTAAGTTTGACATGATATATAGATGATATTTATCATTAAGATAAGGAAAGATTTGACATGATTTACAGATGATATTTATCTTTAACATAAGGAAAGATTTGACATGATTTACTGATGATATTTATTTTTAAGATAAGGAAAGTTTGACATGATATATAGATGATATTTATCTTTAAGATAAGGAAAGATTTGACATGATTTACAGATGATATTTATCTTTAAGATATGTTAAGTTTGAAATGATTTACAGATGATATTTATCTTTAAGACATGTTAAGTTTGACATGATATACAGATGATATTTATCTTTAAGATAATTAAAGTTTTGACATGATTTACAGAAGATATTTATCTTTAAGATATGTTAAGTTTGACATGATTTACTGATTTTATTTATTTTTAAGATAAGGAAAGTTTGACATGATATATAGATGATATTTATCTTTAAGATAAGTAAAAATTTGACATGATTTACAGAAGATATTTATCTTTAAGATAAATAAAGTTTTGACATGATTTACAGATGATATTTATCTTTAGGATAAGGAAAGATTTGACATGATTTACAGATGATATTTATTTTTAAGATATGTTAAGTTTGACATGATTCACAGATGATATTTGTCTTTAAGAAAAGTTAAGTTTTGACATGATTTACAGAAGATATTTATCTTTAAAATAAGTAAAGTTTTGACATGATTTACAGATGATATTTATTTGAAGGTAAGTGAAGTTTGACATGATTTACAGATGATATTTATTTGAAGGTGAGTGAAGTTTGATGTGATTTACAGATAATATTTATCTTCAAGATCAGTTAAAATATAAAATTTATGTAACCTGAAGTATTTGGTTTAATTTAGAGCAAAGATTCCTAGCATAACATTTCACTAAATAGTTTAATATTCTGAAAAGATAATTAATAAATATTTAGTTAATTTACTAATATTTACAAACAACAATTAGAATTAAAGGAACTGTAAGCGTAATTTTAAATAACACTCAGGCTGAATTAGACAGGAGGAGAAGGTAAATCTATCTCAAATTACTGGTAATACTTTGTGACCTCGTAGATTCTCAACTTCAAATTTTAAATTTTGACATGTTTAAATTGTACAAGATCAGGATGTAAAAATACTATTATCAGAATAGTTCAAGGGTTAAACTGGATTAGAAAATTAGAATAGTTCAGGGGTGAAACGGGATTAGAAAATTAGATAAAATCAAGGATGAAATTGGATTAGAAAATTAGCTAAGGTCAAGGATGACACTGAATTAGAAAATTAGCTAAGTTCAAGGATGACACTGGATTAGAAAATTAGATAAGTTCAAGGATAAAACTGATCAAGAAAATTAGAATAGCTCAGGGGTAAAATGGATTAGAAAATTAGATAAGTTCAAGGAAGAAACTGGATTAGAAAATTAGAATAGGTCAAAGGTGAAACTAGAGTAGAAAATTAGAAAAGGTCAAAGGTGAAACTAGATTAGAAAATTAGAATATGAGGAACGTAATCACTCATCATTATCAACCAGGGGCGTATTCAGGAATTTGTCCAGGGGCGCTTAAAATTTTTTCTCTTTCCAGGGGGGCTCAGCACCCGTTGGGGCCTGAAAACCCCCTAAAATCAATAGATTTCACTGGTCCCTGGTCCCGCCTTAGCCCCCAAAGCCCCCCCCCCCCCGAATACGCCTCTGTTATCAACTATAAAGTACAACTTACTAATATGAAACTTTAATAAGAATAATTAATACTTAAGAAAAATTATTATGTGAATCAAATTTTCAAAATAAATTAAGTTTATTAAAAAGTATATACTTAGTGTCTTAAATCGGGATTTGAAAACTAAGTGAGAATGGAATTTTCTGATATAAAAACAATATCTACTTGAAAAAACAAAACATTAATCTATCTTAAAATGTGGTAAGAGGAGAGCATTGTTCTTACTAATTACAAATAAATATAATTATATAAACCTTTTAATAAAGGTTAAATGTAAAATTATGGCGCATCAAAAATCTGGAATGAAGTGGATTTTCTTCTTCTCTCTCTATCTGGCGTTCTTTTCCAACGTCCCAAAACACCGTTATCATTTTCTTTCTTAGCATTTCCTGCAAAAAAAAAACATCTAAAAACAATTGATTAAAGAGACTGTAATTGCAAATTCAAGTGACCCTTCATGCAAAGATACCTTAACCCCCCAATCTGATCAGAAATGAGGAAAATAACACAGTTTTTCTGAGCGGAAAAGTTTTTGATTCTTATAAATTTTCCGTTGTTTCTAATAAGCAAGAAATGCGCAGGTGCGAAACAAGAAACGAAAATAAACAGTTTAAATAACAAAACATATCTATTTAGACAAAGCTTTTAAGGGTACCATTGTAAATCGGGCACTACATAGCAACACTTGAAATTATGCTTGACAGTCCCTTTAAAGTCACCAATATTAACAACAAACATATCTGTTAATCAAGGGATTCCACAACTAATCGGTTGAGGGTCTGGGTGAGTAATGGGTGGCATAGTTTTTTAAACACTAATTGAATTGTGGATTTTTTTTTAAATGCTCCACAAAAATATGAGACGTTTAACCTATTTCAAAATTGTTTGCCACAATCTAGCATGACAGAATCTTTAACAGAAACAATCTCAAGAACTTACGAGGGTCAACCCAGACTGAGATATATTTTCAATAAAATATGGAACTGATTTCTACTTTTTATACAGAGCTTTGGTCCATCACCATAACCGACTTATAAATATGTGTGTATATGTGTCTGTTATTTTATAAATATGTATGTTAAAAATTTGCAGCAACAATATGATATTTATTTAAGTATGGCTTTTTTACTGCAAGATTTATCTCTGGACAAAGATATCTAACATAACGATTGGAAACAACCTTGAATGTGTAAAAGCCGATCCTAAAAATGCCCATCCCTACTGGCGGGGTCCCTCTGAACCAAGTAGATAAACTACATCTCATGTCAGTATCTTGGTTAGTTTGGACCAAATAAACCTTAAAACGGCTGAACAGAAAGGGTTAAGTTTTGGCCGGTCAAATAAAAAACACCAAAAACATAAAATTATTCAAAAACTTGAAAATTCACAAATAATAACAGAAAAATCTGCAGAATAAACTTGCATCGTTTTTACAAGACAAATTAGGCACAATCTTACCTTTATCTATAATTATTGTCAGCTTGATTTGCTGCCACTTTTACACCGTTGCCTAGTGTAAACTAGTTCTGGAGTTGTCAGATCAGCAGCCCGTGTCAGCTCTTGTCCTTTAGTGGGTTCAAATTCCATTCTCGAGTCACTACCACCCTGCCAATATAACTGGTAACTCAACCTTTTTTGAAAACTAGCTCAAGTGCCCGGTGTTGACCGTGGAATTTTAGAAACACTTAAAAATTGGAAAAAAATTGAATTTTGAAGTGAAAATTTTGGTTGTAAAAAAATAAGTTTTTAGCCTTTCTTACTTCCGGGCACAAATGGGTTACTTAACAAAATGTCATTATTTTGGTTGAGCCGTTTTGTATAGATAATAGTGTAAAATAACTTTGTTCGTTTTTATACTTTAAAGGTTTTAGAACTTATAAAAGGTTCCCAAGAAATTTTTCTTATTTTATATTTGGCATATTTCAACCACATTCAACATATTCTTTTGTCTTAGAATTGTTTTGCATTGCTTAATAATCATAATAAATATTTACAAAATATAGCTTTATATGTTGGAATCTTACTTATAAATTATTAGACGCTATATAAAACACCAATATGCATATGATAATGATGGATAGTTATTAGTTATCTATATAACATACAAAACATGCGTATATATGTTCCCAATAGCCGGTCAAACGACTGAACCGAATGGGCTGAAATTCTTTTGGGAGCCATAGGCTAAAAATATGGGTTTTTTTATTTCGCGGGCAACGCCGGGCACTTCAGGTAGTTCATATTAAAAATCCAAATTGCCCTAAAAGAAAGGCATTATTTGTTCAAGGTTGAGGCTATTGGCGTCCAGTAAACTAAGTGAACCAAGCAAATTTAGCCCAATTCTGTCAGTCTGTTCGCAAGATCAAACTGTCTTCGGTAATATAGTTGGTCATTTCAACAACAATTTTACATTACAGGGTTATCCACAATAGATACGACTTTAAAGACGACTTGAAACTCTTAAAATATGACAATTTAAAGGTTATTCGAGGTCTTCTGTCCTAAATACTTTCTTAGATTGGCTTATTTAATGATTTGGCATAAGACATAAACAAGTTTACAGTTACAGGGAATCATAAATGTAAGGAAAAAGACAGCATATATTACGTAAAGTCGTCTCTATCGTCTCATCCTTTGTGGGTAACCCTGTATAGAACGCACAAATACATAAAAGAATATTACGGTTTTGACTAAATACCAGTTTGTCCAAAATTGTGCAAATACTGAAATGGATTCCTTAAAAGTTAGACAAATATTGATATTTGATATCAAATTATTTAATGGCGCGTGGAGGAACATATCACAACAGTGCTTAAAGTTTTAAATATTTTTTTTTCCTAAAAAGAAAAGAAAAAAGATTTCGATTCTAAAGTAAAGTCAATTTTTTGGGATGAATAGGGGGTAAAGTTATAAAATTATTATACTTTAACATGCAAATTGATGGATTTTTAAAACAATTCTTCGGGGGTGATGGAAAGGGATGAGGGTTCAAATTAACTAATAATTACCTGGATGCAAGGTTGAGTCCTTTTCTGTCGTTTAGGTTCAAATTTCTTGCGGTCAACCTTGGACTTGGGTATTCCAGGGATAGCAAACTCTACAGCAGGCTGACGGCAGTTCTAAACATTATACACTTGTATCCTCCTGTATCCAGGTATATACCTTAGTTAGTAGTATACTTGTATCCTCCTATATCCAGGTATATACCTTAGATAGTAGTATACTTGTATCATCCTGTATCCAGGTACATACCTTAGTTAGTAGTATACTAGTATCCTCATGTATCCAGGTGCATACCTTAGCTAGTAGTATGCTTGTATCCCCCTGTATCCAGGTACATACCTTAGTTAGTAGTATACTTGTATCCTCCTGTATCCAAGACAAGGTGTAGAGTGAGGCTAGGTTTAATATCAATGTTCTGTCTGAGGGTCGGTACATTGCTACACGGATACTTGATGCGGAGGAATCCTAAGTTATAATAAATTATATCCAGGGTAACACGTCTAAGAAAACTAAAAAACAACTACAAAAAGATAGAGTATGTTAACATTTTTTAAATAGCCAATTTGTTCTAGAAAGGGAGGATTAGAATACCTTACGGACGTCATTTTGATTCACATAATTTTCATTTTTGTGTCTAATATCGACAGATCATTACTAAATTATGAAATAATATTTGTTAATTGATTCCATTTATCCGTTTAGTGAATAATGACAGAGTCCGTGTGCTCACGAAAATATTAAAAATTTTTAGTGAATACTAACAGAGCCCGTGGTTTAACATGTGGTTACATCAAAATAAAAAAAAATCAGAAAAAAATTAAGTTAGTGCGTTGCAGAACAAAATTTAAAAATATTGTTAAACCTGAAGCCAAAAATGTTGATATTTTAATCTCCTAGTAGTTTATTGCTAAAAATAAATACAAGAAATAACCGTAAGATATATTTCTTTTTTAATTATTTATTTGAAAATCTTTTTATTCTTTGGCCTTTGTTGTCTTTTTTCTGTGAAAACTTTTTTTTAGCTATAATAAAATTTTTCAAAAATCGGTTAAAGACTTTTGGTTTGTTAATTTGATATGAAACTGAGTGAAATCTAATTATCAAATTTAATGAAGGAAGTTGATTTTTAGCAAGTATTTAATGATATGGAAATATCAAATACGGATTTTAACACATTCTTTACTATGGAATTAATTCTTTAAATTCTGTCTAGTCTATACTATTTCTGATACTTATTTATTTTATCTTCTTGCAAATAAAGCAATATAAATGTAATGTAAATAAATAGACGAGGGGGAAGCGGGGGGTTGGCATTCTGAGAGGGGTAATGCACCAAGCGGAATACTAAATTTTAGAAAATTCTCTTAGATTCAAAATGCTAAAAGAGGAAAATTTTGGAAATATTGTTTTGTTTGATAGCTTATTCTCAAGTGACCGTTCACACACAGATGACAGTGCCAGATACAGAGGACCCTAAACAGCTATCGCTGTTTTTAAGTTTTAAAATGTTTTATTTTTTTAAATTGTAGTCATTCTACACTTGCGCATTTATACAGTAGGAAAACCAATGAAAATTATCAGTATTATCAATTTTTCAACCCAGAAAAACGAAACTCTCTTTATAGTATTGATCAGAGAAAGGTTTCAAGGGTACCATGGTGCATCAGGCATTGTCATCTTTGCATGGAGGGTCACTTAAAAGTAAGCGTACAGTCCCTTTAAGTATGCTGGGCCACCATCTATATGTCTATCTGTGCGTATGTGTACTGTACATGTCAATATAATGTTGAGGAGAAAAAAATTGCAAGTAAAAAAAATCCAAAAATTGAAAACAAAGAAAGAAAATTAGTTGATTGCCATAATCGATATGAACAAATTAAAAAGAAATCAAGAAATTAAATGAAATTAGAACAAGTGGAATTATTGCGCATTTATATATTACAAATTATGTTTTTTTAAAATTGCTTTATTTAACTCCTTGAATGTTTCCTCAAGATGTCGAGAACACAAGAAGATAGTTAATTTTTTATCTATTTATCTATCTATGTATCAAATAATTTATTTATTTATTAATCTATCTATTTATCTTTCTATTAAACATCTTAATAATAATAATAAAATTAATAATATCAAACCTGTAAGAATCTGGTAATAAAAATAATAATATCGAACCTGTAGGAATCTGGTAATAAAAATAATAATATTGAACCTGTAGGAATCTGGAAATAAACATAATAATATCAAACCTGTAGGAATCTGGTAATAAAAATAATAATATCGAACCTGTAGGAATTTGGTAATAAAAATAATAATATCAAACCTGTAAGAATTTGGTAATAAAAATAATAATATCAAACCTGTAAGAATCTGGTAATAAAAATAATAATATCAAACCTGTAGGAATCTGGTGACTATTTCAGCATGAGAAAGTCTCTTTGTTTGCTCCTGACTACAAGGTATTTTATGGGCCCGGAGTCGTCTTGTGCCAGCCTTGAAATCAGAAATAAGTAATGTTGAAAAATAAAAATGGACTTATAGGATTGTGAAAAAGAGATAGGATAGGTTCTTTACAAAACGGGTATTTTAAAGCATCCTTAGAATTCGCGCTGACTTTTGACATCTTTATGTTAGATCAAATCTGTTAATCGTTTTACTCTTTTTAATCTTTTTAGTCGTTTCTTTGTAAAATCGTCTTTGTTTTCTTCGATTCTTTTGCAAACATAGAATGTGTTAGGATTAAACATTAGTTCTGCTGATAAAAATCTTCAATTAAACTCTGTTAAAAATTCGAAATAAGATAAGGATAAAGAGGTACTGTTGTGAATCAGACACGTCACTCTACAAATAGTTTTATTTGATTGTTTCGTTAGAATTACAAAATGTATAATAGTAACAACATTTTCATTTTTGTTTTTTTTCTCTAACCTTGATCTCCCTTGATGAATTTTGGCGTCCACGAATTCTAAAATAAAAACAATGATGAAAAAGAAATTATATTAGAGATAAGATGTTAACCAAAGACTTTGCTAATTATAAAGACAAGGCGTTGGAAATTTCTCCAGCTATTGTGTATGTCAGCACAGCTGTATTTTGACGTCATTGGTTATTTTGGTTGTTTGAGAGTCAAAAGATCGACATTAGAACCTTAGATATTTAACACAAATGTGAATGTTTTGTGCTAAAACTTAACTAAGATTATTGATATTAATTTGTATTTTAAAATTTATTTCATCATTTGTTGGATATGAGGATCGTCTGGTGAATTATAGCTGAATTTGTGTTAAAGTTACGCATCTCTTTTGTATCAAAAATAGCCAATTATTGTTAGTGAAAATTTTCAGATGTCGTCAAATATTTTTCTTGAGGTTCAATGGAATGGGATTTTAGGACAGCAGAAATTTCCAATATTATAAACGGTAAATAAATTTTGTGTAAATGTCGTCTTCTGTTTAATCTGAGGCAAAGAAAAAATATCGCATAAATTAATGCGTTAATCTTATTTTTCAATCGATTACAGATTATTGGAGAATTTCAAAGAGGTGGAAAAAATACATTGGTGAAAAAAATAAGAAATATGAAGACGACTTTTAGACTCAAGTTAAGATTAAATAGTTTAATTAACGTTTAAATACCTCTATTGAGCAGAGAACAAGTAGATTGTCTAATTATGAATTATGTCATCTTCAAATTCGATAGTTTTATGTAAACAAATATGAATAATTCTAATCAATTCAGGTCCGTCGGTGCGAATCACAGCTCCAACATGTATAATACCGAGCTGCAATCCAAGAGTAGGAGGTTCACGTTTTAAATTTCCAGCAAATCCAAAGGACAAAAATTGTGGCTCCAGGCCCTTCCTTTAGATTAGTAAAACATCCAAAACTTTGTGATAACTGAGTTGCTAGAGGTTGAATTCTATGAATCGGTGATGGTTCAACCAAATGAACTGGGGACAAGTAGTTCTGATGCTCAGACCCAAACAGATCTCAGTCTGGAGAATATTTCTGATTTGGAAAATTTAGTTAACTCTAGAAAACACACCAACAAAGGAGTTTCCATTTCTTATCTCTATCAGGGTTTAACTATTGACATGGACCCAAATCCCATAGAAAGACTAGTAGTCGAAATTGTTAAAACTTAAATTGTTTGTGAAACTTCGTTTTTTCAACGAATTAAAATTTTAAACACTAACCTTGCAAAAAATTTTACAAGAAATATAAAACAGAAGCGACAGTTTTTAGTATAATAAATATTACGATGTTGATTCAAAAATTCATTTTAATCAGGTAGAGAGAGAATTCATTCTTAAATGAAAAAGAAATGATATAATTGATTACAGTACAAGGTTACAATTGCATAAAAGATATATGACTTGAATGATGTATGGTTGAACTTTAAATACCAAGATCTTATAGGTTATTTTCTTCTTATATAATTATAATTAGATATAATTTCAAGTTACCAACCCATTAAAGGTTCTAAAAACAACCGTACTTTTATGGACTATGGAGTGGACAATTAAATATTTCAAGATAGAAAAACTAAAGTGGTTTCCTTGTTTTCCTTTTAAATAACTATTTAATTCATTACAAAAGACAACATTATGAAACGTCAACAGGGTAAATATATACTCGATTTCTGGAGAAGACGACATTACTTACTATCTATGTCAACCCGAGAAAATGCTTCAAATTTGCGTAGATTTTCTGATACGCTATCTCTAATTAGCAAAGTCTTTGATGGCCGTATCCTGAGAAAGAATGTTTTTTTTGCAATACTTTTTGCCTTTGTTAAATTTTGTCTAGCTCATGTTTTCATTATAATCTGTCTAGTTCATGTTTTCTGAATAAGACATAAAGACAAATTTAGGCTTTACCGCAGTACGGAAGACATAAGACAAATTTAGGCTCTCCCGCCGTTTTTGGTATTATTTAACCATTTTCGACTATATTGCCATAACTCCGTCAATTTTTAGGGGCATTTCTGAGTTTTTTATTCAGGGGCACCCTAGGAGGAGCAAACCTAGGAAGCTAAAGATTGAAAGATATATATATCTGGAGGGGGGGCTAACCTAGGAAGCTGAAGATTAAAAGATATATCAGGATCTGTATCTTCATCTGTCAGATGCATCACAGATATACCAGGCTCAGGTCCAGGCCAATCAGACTGCTCATCATCAGCCTGCAGTCAGGAAATCAATCAATCAATCAAACACACAATCAATCAGTCAATGAAGGCACAATAAAACTAAATGTCACCTAAATTTCCAACGCTAGTCCCAACATCATTGATTTCTAAAATGGTGTTAAGGCATTTTCCCAAGTGGCAACTTCCCAAATGTGCGATTTTCCAAGTTGCAACTTCCCACAGGTTGCCGCTTGGGAAAAAGGCTTTGGGAAAGTACCTAACACCAATTGCCCAGTTTCCGGGGAGGGGGCAGGGGTGTATATTTTGCAGAATTGATTTTTGATGATAAGGGGGGGGTAATGAAAAATGGGACATAAAAAGCAAGTTTGTTCATTACTTTTGATACTTTCTACCGAAAAAGTCATTTATTTTCCCCAAAAAATCCTGTATTTTCGCCAATTCAGCGAAAAAACATACTGAATGAAAAATGGGACATAAAAAGCAAGTTTGTTCATTACTTTTGATACTTTCTACCGAAAAAGTCATTTATTTTCCCCAAAAAATCCTGTATTTTCGCCAATTCAGCGAAAAAACATACTGAATGAAAAATGGGACATAAAAAGCAAGTTTGTTCATTACTTTTGATACTTTCTACCGAAAAAGTCATTTATTTTCCCCAAAAAATCCTGTATTTTCGCCAATTCAGCGAAAAAACATACATAACAACTGGGGAAAAATTATTTTCAATTTATTTCAAATTATTTTCGTTGAAATTTACACACCTGGGGCCGGGGATAAACACAAAATTACGTCACCGTCTCGCAAATCTGTCGATGTATGAAATCTAACTGAGTTATCTAGGCCCTCCCCCCCCCCCCCCCCCCCACACACTGTCAACTTCTAGGGGCTCATCCACTGTAATTCTACTCTTTCATACCTCTTCTCCCCTCCTAACAAATTCACTTACTTCTTAAAAAGACAGAAAACGTAATTTTCAGTGACCCTCAATTTATATAGTGGAAGATTCAAAACGGTACCGTTAAAAGTTTGTTCAAAGTGTATGAATGAGATATCCATGTTTTTGTTTTTGAAAACTGATTGTTTTCAACTGTGGGTTCTCAAACCAAAAAAAATAAAATTATACCCTTATGCCATTTAAAGTACCCCGCCATTTAAAGAGGGAAATGTCCGATGCATAAAGGTGGACCATTAGAGAATATATTTACTACACAAAAATGTATTCTGGAATACACTATGAACTCGGTTTCAGTTACTAAAAACTGGTTTAACGGTCTGTTTACATCCAATTTGATTAGGCTTATGTCGAAAAAATATATGTACAGTTTGACATGAGAGGGGGGGGGGAGGGAGTAACCCAGACATAAATTAATTTACTTCGCTCCATTTCGTCTTTACTGGGCTTCTATTTCAACTTTTAATTGTGGCTTTACGTGAGCATCGCATCTACTCTTTGTACAGTTTAAAACAAAAACAAAAAAAGTTTTTCATAATATTTTTCGCGCATTTTCAAAATTTAAAAAAAAAACTTTTAAACTTTCGAAAATTTGATCATTCATGAACCTTCCCTGGGGTCACGTGAGGTCCCACACAAAATTTGGGCCCGATCGGTTTAGCCGTTTTGACGTTTATTGGACAGAAACAGACAAACAGACAGCCAGACAAGCAAATTACATATGTGTAACTATATAACTCTGGCGTGCAGGGGCGTATTGTAAACCCACCCAGCTAGTTCATTCAACCCAAGCTAAATTGTATCATGAGTTGAGTAACTGGACAAACAAATAGTATTGATTGTATTTAACCCGTTACTACTGGAGCTGGTATCAACGGCCAGAGGAAATTTCCAGGGTAGCAAGGTTCAAATCCTGGGAATCCTTATCA